TGGTTTCCCTGCTTGTTTCTGCCTCGTTTAAAAGGACAACAGGGAGTCAAGGTTTGTTGTAGAAAGCTCTCTAGGAAATGTGGTGGTTGGAGGGGCTTTTGGCAGTCTTAAATCACCTCCCAGCCTCTTATTTTTGTGTATGTGCTGCCTGACGGCGCATTGCACAAACAAGGGCAACAGTTTTCCTATAAAAATGAACCCATGAGCATAAATGTTGAGGGTGAATGAGAAGTTATAAATAGAGGGAAAGGTTGTGTCTGAGCGCTGCGGTTTTAGAAGGACGAGTGTGGGGGGGTGTCGGGGGGAGGATCTGGCCCCAAATCTGTGGGGTGGGGGAGCTGGGTTGACCGGGGAAGGGGCAACTCTCGCTCCCAGGTTCATCAGAGAGCAGAGGAATGCGTGCGAGCGCTCCGGCTCTTCGAGGACATCAGCAGCGGTAAATCTGTCCCGAACGTCCTTCACCAGGACTTCGATCTCTCCGTGCTGAAGGTATCTGGGTCCGTCTGTGCTGAAGGACCAGCCAGGGGATCGTTTGGCTGACGGGGGGGTCCAGGTCCCCTTTGCTGGCAGGATCAGTCCTTGTTGCATGAGACTTCGACTCCTGGGACAAGTGGGGTGTGTGCAGAGCCACAGCCTTCTACGTCTCGGCTTCGTGACGCCTCTGTTCTCCTTCTTCTCCTCCAGGCACGCCGGGGAAGCCGGGTCCCACGGCACCGGCAGTGAGAACGCGACATGGCATCCCTTGCAGAGGCCAGAGCCGTGGGGCTTTGCTGGTCTTCTTCCCTTGGCTTTTTCTTCCCTAATTAGGGACCTTCTGCAGCGAGGTTTGGGCACGGGCTCCTCAGCCGCCTTCTTTTCGCAGGACAGCATTGATCTGACCAAAGTTGCCGTCATGGGCCATTCCTTCGGCGGGGTGACAGCAGTGCTGGCCTCGGTGAAAGAGCCCAGCTTCAGGTAAGCCACAGCAGGGACGAGGAGCCGAGGGAGGCTCCAGGGACACGTGGCCCATACCGGCGGGGAGGCGAGG